TGTTTCTCTTGAATTACCAAAAAGTTTAAAAGTTTTTTGTTTTTACATAAAGCTGTTGATTGATCAATGGAATTTATAGATGATTCATAGATCCATTTTATAGTTCTTTCTTACCATCAAAACCATTAATTTTGGACTTCCCCGTTTTTTGGAAAAATCTATTGATCTATTAATACAAGCAAAAACATTACAATCCCATAACAAATCAATATATCATTGCAATTCAAAAACCGGAATGTATAGATCTACTACTAAAGATTTAAACAAAAAATGCATCAATCCTCTTATTCTTGATTTCAATGTGCTTTTTTCTCCTTTTTAATGCAATATCTCAAGCGTTTGTGCAAATGGAAATTCTCTCAAAGGCATCTAGGATGACCATGGAAAGCTTGAAAGTGAAAAAATAAAAAAGAGCGTTGACGAAAAAATGCACCAATAGAAATCATTCCACTGGCACATGGTTGGTTAATGGAGAATTCTTCTGACTAGCTAGAATCATTTATTACATTACTTCTTTTTTTTTATAAAAAAAAAGTAAAAATTAATTGAGCTTATGGGCGCTTAATTTTAGGGGCATATTCAAGCTGAGCCAAGCAGAATAGTATGAAGCTCGAGCTAGGCTCGCCAAGATTGTATAAGGCTCTAGTCGAGCTAGAATATTGAGTTCGAGCTCAACTCGAGTAAAAAACTCATAAGCTTGAGTTCAGCTCGGTTCAAGCTCGATTTGAGGGAAAATATTTTATAAAAATAAATAATTATATATAAAAAATATTTTTTATTTGATATTTAAAAATTAAGAATTATAATAATTTTATTATATATATATATATATATATATATAGCTTGACTTATTTACTAATTAAACTTATAAATTGGACTCAAACTCGATTAAAACCGAGCCAAACTGAGCTTTTCACGAATTGAACTCGAACAGCTCGTAAAAAACTCAACTCATTATCATAATTTATTTCATTTACTTCAAGTTACATTAAAGAAAATTCCGCTTTTATAATGACTGGAGAATTCTTTAGTAAATGAGGGAATTACGTGTTCGTTATACAGTTTCAAGAGAGGTGCATGCTTAATGTATGGCCAATTTGGCCATACATGAGTATACAAATTGGCCAAAGCCAAACATGCGTATATGGCCAATTTGTGTAGGACTAGGCTTTAATGCTAATGGGCGCAACTTTGATGCATCTGGAACACAACTCACAGAAGCAGCAAGTTACAATTGGAGACAGCTAATCAATCTAAATAGGACAGGACAGGAGCATGTACGAGGCTCTAAGTCCTTACTCAGGTCGTTTAATATTATTTGATTTTACTCAATGTATTGTTATATTCAAGTCTGTCAATGGATTCAAAAAAATTCAAAACCCAATCAGACATCCAATTTGGTATTTCGAATTCGGAGAACAAAGCCTGCATTTCGTTTAACGATCCCATCCAATGTTTTATATTTACATAAATTTACTATATATGTATATAAATTCAAAAGTAATTAATTTCTTAAACTTTTTAATTTTTTTTTATTTTAAAGAAAATTAAGTAGATTCAGATTAGATCCAAATCCGATCCTAATTTGGATTTAAAGTTTCAATAATCAGATTAGGTTTAGATGTGGCTGGAGCTGATCCAAATCTGACACAATTACAGCCCTAATTATATAATATATATTTTAATTAATTTTTCAACCATATTTATATTTATACATTTCCAAAACATATTCCCATACATCAGAAATAATTTTTTTGTACTCTTTATAATACCAATAACTTGAACCTTGAATTAGATCTTGGTCAATCCGGATACTCGTATTAATTGCACAATACGGGAATACTATTGCTCTATATTGGGTTGTTCAGCTAGTATGGACGGATATATTTTAATTCCTTTTTGTTACATTTGTTTTGTTAGCCCCAACCCCATGAAGGAAAAAAAACACCGGCTAACCACACCTACTTAATTGATATAGTTGTCTTTTTCATTTTTTTTCACTTAATTGATATAGTTGTATATGCTTAAACTTTAACATTTAATTATTAAAAATAATTGATTATTAAAATTTATATACTTATGAATATTAATAAGTACGATTTTGGTCTCCCAAATAATTAAGGGATCATTTGGTTTGTGGGAATAGGTGATTTGGAATCAAAATCAGAATGAGTCATTCCGATTCCAATTGTTTGGTTGGGCGGAATTGGAATCCCATTCCCATTGCTGGTGGAATGGCATTCCCCCATTTGAGGGAATGGCCATTCCCTCCCCCTCCCTTGGGAATGAAATTCCATTCTTACTGATTTCGTTTCCATTCTGATTCCTGTCTGAATTAAACAAATTATGGGAACAAACCATTTCGATTCCGATAGATTTTGATTCTGATTCTAACCACAAATCAAAACAGACCCTAAAATATGAATGCAAGTTTTTAGTTTTGAACTTTTTTATATATTTTTAACATTTTCTAAGTGTGTCCTAATAGTTCACACTTCACATGGACTATCAGAGTATGTATTTCTTGTATGTGTATATCTCATCTATTATCATCATTCAGACTTGGATTTAGTATTTTTGATGTATATGCCTGAGATTTATTGAATTTTTCTAACATATCCATGTGTATCCTAAATTTCTCACCATATCTAAAATACATTCCCATACTTCTCCAAAGTTTATCTTTCTCATACTTTGAATCTTGGGCTGATCTACCGGTTCAACAACTAACAAGGACTCCAGTTTTAAATCTTCTAAGGGTCGTTTAGTTCATGAGAATAGAGGTCTAAAATCAGACTTGGAATGAGCAATTCCAATTCTAATTATTTGGTTTTTTCATTTGAAGGAATGGCCATTCCCTCTTCCTCTCTTGAAAATGAAATTCTATTTTAACTAATTACAATTTATGTCTGAACAAACAGACTATAGAAAAATCATTAAAAATTCTGATTCCAACTACAAACCAAACGCATAGTAATATCTATGAACCGTTACAATGGACCGACCAAACTGATCTTCCCTTATCATTCTAGCTTTCAGGGGCCCACAGAAAACAATTTAACACCTGAAAGGGAGAAGGCAGGAATAGAGCAAGTGCAGATACAGATAATATCTATGTCAAAACTTAACCGAATCGACAGAAAACAAAAAAGAGACGTATGCAATGACGAAGAAATGATGCCATTAGCGATGATGCAATCAGTAGCGACATCAGCAGATGAGCGAAAGGATGACTCAACGTCAGCAGCCTAGCGAAGCTGTGCCTGTGGCAATCTTTCCCGGTTCGATGGATAATAGATAGCCAATAAAAAACCACGTGTCTTTAAAAAATAAATAAACCCGTTGGGGGGATGGAGATGTCAAAGGGAACAGACCGCACTACAGCTGTCAATCGACATGGGAAGACCACAATATTTGTTTATATATATATATTTTCTTTTTCTCAATAATTGTCATTTGGGTTCGAGTCGTTCGACTATGATACCCAAAAAACTTGTAACCAATTAACAGCGGTATCATAAATCAAAATTCACAATGATTTCGATTGTAAAAGCTTTTTCAGTATCATATATTATGGTAGCATAGATTTATTTTATTTTATTTTCCGTTGTTAAAAATCAAAATACAAGAAAATTTACGGTCAAGAACATATATTGTTGCTGAACTTTTCATATACTACGAATCAAATAAATCTAACGACTGCTTTAGATTAAAAAAGAATCTAAGAGTCTCGTACCATGCATCTCACTAAGTAGTGTTAACGACTGGTTTGAAGGAAAAAGTAGGGAAAAGGGAAAGTAGGAAAACCTTTACAAACCTTATATAGGTTTTTTTACCTTTCCATTTCTTTTCCTCAAACCAAATATAATCTTAATGTTTTTATTTTCTTTAATTTAAAAAGATCACAAAATTATGATAGAACTAAGTAAAGGGATAATAAAGAAAGAATAAACTGATAGACCAAGACTATTTCATTTAATATAAAGTCCCGCGTGCACCTGGTTCTCTAGCCCCCGTGTAGGGGGTGTCAATTGGACTGGATTTGGTCCAATCTGATCTAATCCAATGTGAGTCTACTATAAATGGATCAGGTCCAATCCAATCCAATGAATGTTTTAAACCAACTTGGACCAGTCAAATTCAATGTCTGAACGGTCCAATCTGTTCAAATTCATTTTGATTTAGATTGATTTCAACCCAAACCCAGTCCATTGACATGTATTCTTATCTTAATATAAATGGATCAAATATTGACTTAATCCAACCCAGTTCAATATAAATTTGTTATGAACGGATCAGGTCCAACTCAATCTAGTAAATATTTTGAACCAGATTGATCCAATCCAATACGTCTTGTTGGTCTGTCCAATCCATCCAGATTGATTTTGCACTGGATGGGGCCCAATTCAAAACCGGTCCATTGACACCCTTAGCCCCGTGACAAAAAAAAAAGACTAAGCCATGTGGCTTGCTAATTGGGGCTTAAACAAGGCCACTAGAGAAGCTTGTATTGTATTTCAACGTGGCATGGGAGATTGATGTGCGTAAACTAAACAACCGGTTCAACTTTCTTTGATGACTAACCAGAGGGATTTAACTTCAGAAAAATCATATCTGGATCTGCCAATGTCAACATTTCACAATTCAGAATCCATTCTTTGGTCTCTTTCGTTTGCAGCATTAACACAGTTGAACACAGTCAAGATTGCCGGAAAATTAATAAAAAAAAATGTTGATCATTTTGATCTGATGTCCTTGCAAGAGAGTCCACTTCCTGATACCGGGTTAAGATATTTAAATACCAAACCCCACCACCTCCCATTGGCATTACGCCCCATCCGAAACCAACCTGATGATGATAAAAAAAAAAAAATTATCCGAGTGATCCCTAGTTGAACTGTGTTAATACATACAAAATACAACATTTTGCACTCTACATATTTGTATTTATACTCTTTCCAAACTGAGCCCAAGTAAATTGAGAATAGGCTACTCTAAATTATAGAGTAAACAAGAAATTATAATTTTAGTCTCCTGCCCCGCAGAAACGCCAAAAGTCTGCGGGCGTCGTTTGCTGACCCTTCGGGAGGCGTCGGCGGTCTCATCTCCAAGCTTTGACTCAGTTCCGCCCCGCCTCCTGCGACACGACAAAATGGGTCGACAAGCCATTAGCGCCACCTTCCCGCGATCACTTCCACCGTTCCTCACAATTCAGTCCATGGGTGGCGTCTTATTCCCCACGTGCGTCCTTTTATTCCACAGCCCCTATGGCTATGGGACCCACCCCTGACGCCCTCCGGCACCTGGCTATATATACCCAAAGACTGCATGCATGGTTATGGTCATAGGCAAACTTCACAGTTTTTTTATTGCTCAGAACACAAACGGAACAAAGCAGACGACAAGAAAATCAGCGAAGAAGCATGGGGAGAGCAAGAGACGCAGAAGCTGAGTTAAACCTACCACCTGGGTTCCGGTTCCACCCAACTGATGAGGAGCTCGTTGTTCATTACCTTTGTCGTAAGGCCAGCTACCAGTGTCTGCCTGTTCCAATAATCGCTGAGGTCGATCTCTACAAATATGATCCATGGCAACTTCCAGGTATCTAACTTGATCTAAAAAAATCGATTTAATGTAATTCAGACAGTATGTTTCTTTTTTTCTCATTCTCTGTTGAATGGAGCAGAGAAAGCTTTGTTTGGAACCAAAGAATGGTACTTCTTCACTCCTAGGGATAGGAAATATCCAAACGGATCAAGGCCCAACAGGGCCGCTGGACGTGGATACTGGAAAGCAACCGGGGCTGACAAACCCATTAGACCAACAGGAAGTGCAAGACATGTCGGTATAAAGAAAGCACTAGTCTTTTATTGTGGAAAAGCACCAAAAGGAATCAAGACTAATTGGATAATGCACGAGTATCGGCTCACAGAATCAAATCTGCGGTCCAACAAAAATGGCAGCCTAAGGGTAGGTAACATTAACATCACAAGTGGTACTACTACAATTATATAATATTATTATTTTGTCGAAGCTCACATCAAACTCTCGCTCTTGTAGTTGGATGATTGGGTTCTCTGTCGAATTTACAACAAGAAGAACAACTGGGTGAATTCTCAACAGCAAAAGGAAGAAGACTCCCACGAGGAAACTATGGACTCCTTTGAGGCAGTTGAAACAGGATCTGAAAGCTTCAGAACCCCAGAGTCTGATGTTGATAACGATCCTTTTACTGATATTAATGATATGGGTGTAACTGAGGTTAGTCCATCCCAAGCACTACACATTGATCAAGTATCAAGAACTGATACCAAAGGAAGTTTTCAGATGGGGGAATGTGTAAAAGAAGATAGTGTCTGGTTTTCAGACCTGAATCTTGATGATTTACAGAATTCTTTTGCAGTACTTGGAGCAACTCCTACTCTAGATGTAGCAATCCAAGACTACTACTACTTAGGCCTTTGTTCTCCTCAATTGAAACCCTACCAGGACAATCAATTTCTCTTCTGAACTGTTCTGAAAATTCTATTATTATCTATGTACAGAAGAGAACACAAGAGCCAGTAGATATGAGATGAGGCTCTCTCCATGATGATTTACATGAGATTCTTTTGTTTGTTTTTCTTTTCCAAATCACCTCCCCCACATCCACCCAACCCACCTAAAAGAATCTACAGGATTGGAGTGGTGGGAATGACAAGCAATTCCAAGAAGAACAGAAAGAAATTGTTGTAAATATTCAAAATATACATAGTAACATTTTATTTTCATGGTCATTTTCTATGGTTTCAAGTATACACCTGATCCCTTACCCATCCCCTTAATGAAGTAAGGACATTGTACAAGATGTACAAGATCACTTACCATTTCAGAGTGCAATAGCAAGATTAACGTTGGAAGCAAGGTCTACCTATGGAGCTGGACTATCAAACGGCAAAGCAAAGGAACGAGCCTGAGCTGGTGAACATATAGAATATACCTGAGTGGAAGATCCTATGCTATGGATATAGAAGATCGCTCGTACACAGGTGTAAGAAGAAGAAGAATATTATGAGAAGGAATTTATGTAAAAAAATGAGTGTTCTAATGAAATGTGATATCAGCATAAAGAAAGGCAAAAAAGGTGAGGACTATAACATTTATAATCTTCCTAGGTTTTTGAGTATACTAGAAAAATACATTTCACAGAACTTGGGTTAAGCCTATCCATGTGACAATCAAAAGCATGTGTAAAGCTACCCATGTAACAATAAAAAGTACACAAGGAATGAGGAGTCTTACCATCCAAAACTGAAGAGAATGGATGATTAATTAGGTAACAGGAAATAAGAACAGCATCGCTCCAATAAGACTTGGGTACAACCATCTGAAGGAGAGATCTAGCAACATCTAGAAAGTGATGATTTTTACATTCTACTACACCATTCTATTGAGGAGTATGCACACAAAAGGTTTGATGTTTAATACCATGATCATAAAAAAAAATGCAGAAAAAGATACAGGCAGGCAAATAGTCCCTGGCATTGTCAAATTGGAACACAAAAATACTAGTCCAAATTGAAGGATTTAAAAATAAGAAATAACACAGATCTTTCATTAAATATAACCAAGTCATCTGTGAATGGTAACAAATGTTACAAAGTACTTAAATCCTACATAAGACACAGCAAAACAGGAACCCCAAACATCAAAACGAACTAATTGAAAGTGACCAAACACACGACTAATGATACATGACGAGAACGATGACCTGTGGTGTTTACTCAGCTGGTAAGCTTCACACTTCAAAGGACATGGACTTTAATGAAGAAAATAAGCCCTGTAGACTCTACAAGGAGGGATGACCCAAATAACAGTGCAACCGGAGAGGCGACATGGTAGAGGATGACTGCAAGGATGTGCTTCCTAATCCACCAGACTGAAGTCCAATTTGTTTCTTTGTCTCAAGTCCTGAAACACCCAGTGAGAAGAATAAAAAACAATACTATAGTCATACGATTTAGTCAATTTGCTCATAGATATTAAATTAAAAGAAAATTAAGGAAAAAATAAAATAGATGATAAAAGTGCCTCCTACCCCACATGCATGCGTTCTGTCTTAAAAGTGGTAAAGGCTCAAGTCACATTTTCTTGTCTTGTCACTATATCTGCCAAATTTGGTACTACTTGTTAACCCTGTTTGGTAAATCTTGGAATGACTTGGAAATGTTCCTCAAAGGATGAACTCTTCCAAGTTTACAGGAGTCTCTTTTGAATGATCTTCCGCTGAATGTGGTGGTGAAATACCTTCTGAACAGCACTTTAGTAGAAGTTGAGAGAAGTTGAGGGAGAAGATGGAGAATAGGTTCGTAGAAGTTGCAAGATGGAGGAAAGTGATAAAGATTGAAGCAAAAGATCTCATATTTGAAGAGATCAGGAACAGAGGCCAGCAGAGTTTGAAGATTAGGGAGGCAAAGAAAGCTACGATACTGTTGGAAGGTCTTTAAGTGATCGAATGGATGCAGATGTTTGTTTCAGAAGCAAGTTCTAAAGGTAAACAAATGAACTTTACGAAGTTCAACCTTGATGGAAGAAAGAGTTATGAGTTAGAATGCAAAAAGAATACAAAAGGATGCTACATAACTCTGCAGGAATTCTTTGGAGGAAGAAAGAAGCAGTTGGTTTGCTTCCTAGAAAGTAGAAGGGGTAATGGATGGAAGGTAGTGGCAGAGGTACCGAGTGACTTTACTCAGCAGCTGAAAACAAAACAAGTAGAGGCTGTAGCAAAGGAAAAGAAAGGGGGTAAACAAAAGAGAGAGGAAGAACCCATTGATAGGAAATGGATGATTGCAGAAAAAGGAAAAAGAAGTTGTAAACTGGTAGCAACAGTAGAAAAAGAGGATTGGGGGAAGAAATTTGTGGTGAAAACTTCAAGTCCACCAAAGGATTGGAGAGGTATTGCTCAGACGATACTCAGAGAATTAAACCTGCAAAAGCCGATGGTGATTACTCCTTATGAATCATGTACAGCTTTGATAGATTTGGGTGAAGACGAAGTAGAGATTTCAGCTTTAAGCATTCACTCAGAGGCTGGTGTTGCCACAGTGTCGAAATGGTGTCCTCTTTCTAATACCAAATGTTTTGAGATTGAAGACAATGTAATAGTCAGATTGCTTGGGTTACCTTTCAATCTCTGGAAGGAGGAAGTATTACAGTCAATAGCTGTAATCTGTGATGCAAAATTAGAAGGTGTTTTTGATTGTGATCTCCATTCAGTTGCAGTGATGTTAGGTAGTGTTAAACCCAGTGGCATTCCAAGGTAGATAGAGGTTGTTTCAGAGGGTTTAGTATACCCCGTTTGGCTTGCTACCTCCATTGAAGCCCAGCTATGGAAGGAGGGGAGAAGGGAGGAAGATGAAGGGGCAGAACAGGCTTGGTTGCTTGGTTTGCAAGGCAGAGTAGTCACTACAGAAGAGGCTAAGTCATCTGAGGTAACCAGGAAAAAAGAGAAAAAAGAGAATAATTTAACCACTTGAGAAAAGTCTACATGGCAGGGTAGGCTGAGGGATGACAGGTCCTATGTTCAGTCGGTGACAGGAGGATTAATTGGAGGCAGACTTGCGCCAGGAGTTCAAATTTCAAAAGAAATTGAACAAAGGTTGGCAAGGGTTCAGGTGTCAAGCCGGTCTTGTGAGCCAGTTCATTCTGGTCCATTGAACAGAGGCCAGTCACATGTTTTAAGTAAACATGTGACTGGTAAAGAGGTTGGGGGGCTGGGCCCAGGCCCATTAAAAATTAATGGGTCTATTCTTGTGAATGGGCCGGCTGTTTTAAATAGTGTGGACCCAGGATTTAAAGAGCCACACGCCAATTTAAGTAGGCACGTGACCAAAGGAAATGGGGAGATGATGGACCAAAAAGATGGTCTATCATCGTCCCCTCAAGCAAATCTCATCTACCGCCTGCAGGAGAGAAAGTTAGCCGCAGTGGAGCGGCAAATCTGAACTGGGCATGGGTTCCGAGCAAGAAGAAGAAAGTCCACTCCCCGGAACGGCGCAATCCAAGGTTCAAGAAGCACCCGTTGCCAGTGGAGACAAGGTGTTCCCTCATTCCGACAATAGTAAATTAGAATATTACGGACACGTTTGAGGTCTGTGTGACGGAGGAAGAATGTAGCTCAGAATCAAAGCCTGAATGCTCTTCAAGTATTGGAAGCGTGGAACTGAAAAAAAGCCAAATCTCTCAGTGCTGATGAGGGCCTTCATACCAAGCTTCATTTTGTGGAAAACAATGATTTGAATTTAACAAACTCAGCCCAGAAGAAGCACTCTCAATTTCTCCCATTACCTTAAGGAATGAATTGGGGTTTACTATAGCTATTATAGAGGAGAGGCAGGGGACACCGGTTCTTAAATTTGCTCCCAGTTCGCTAGAGCAGCACGGCATTGATAGAGGAATAAAGGAACAGGACGTACCTTGTCACTGATCACAGAGTCATCAACCAGGGGACAACATCTAAAGGCAAACTCTGATGCAAGGACTAAAACAACATTGGTTGAACACAATGAGAACCACAGTCATCTATTTTGGAAGGATTAGCCGCGACCTTTCCCCTTCGTGTGGCTCCTCAAGAGTCATTGTTCTCTTCCCACAACCATTCAGGTAATATTGTCAATTCGTTTTTTGGTACTGATGTGGGTTTCCTGCCTGGAACAAATGCTTTTGCAGCTCAACTTGATGCAACAGCCATGGATGGAAAGTATTTAGTTGGGGACCAAGAGGGCAAAGAAAAAGAGGAAATGACAAGGGGAAGAGAATCACAGGAAGAGTTAGAGAAAATCTGGGATCAGATCTGTATGTATTTGGAGGAGTTTAAGAGAAAAGAGGAAGAGGCAGGGAAGTATGAGGTTCAAGAAGGTTCAGTAAAAACAGGGGTTCAAAGAAGGAAAAAAGCAGGGGATGAATCAATTATGGGAAAGATGCAGAAGGAGGAATTAGAGAGGATTTGGGGACAGATTTGTGCTCTCCTTGAGGAGTATAGGCAAACAGAGGAATCTTTGGAGGAAAACCAAGGAATTTCGGAAAGGAAAAATAAAACAAAAAGAGCCTTAAGCAGATCTAGAACAATTAATAACCGAAGGAAGAAGAAAAGATTAGAGGTGAAAAGGTTGATATCAGATATAGAAGAAAATTTGGAATTCAGCGAAAGAGGGGAGAGAAGGAAAGCCTCTAAGTAGAGGCCTGATCTCAAAAGGGGATGCAAAATCTCTTATCTCCATGAAAATCAACAGTTGGAATGTGAGAGGGTTGGGGAGTGCTAGGAAAATAATGTAGATTAAGGACCTCCTTAGAAGGGAAAGGCCGGATATAGTGATGCTACAGGAGACCAAATTAGCTGATATTGATAGAAGATGGGCAAGAAGCATCTGGAAATCTAGAGGAATAAGTTGGATTTCAGCACCTTCTTGGGGGGCTTCGGGGGGAATTGCTACCTTTTTGAGAGAGGATACGGTGGAGGTTTTGGAGGAGCTAGTAGGTAATTTTTCAGTGTCGTTAAAATTCAAGATGGTAGAGGATGGATTTACTTGGGCTCTAACTAATGTGTATGGACCAAGCAATTAGAGAGAGGAATGAATTTTGGGAAGAACTTTATGGGATTCAAGGGCTTTGGGATGGTCTGTGGTGCTTGGGGGGAGATTTCAGTGCAATTCGATTTATGGATGAATCAAATAACCCCCAACAGGTCATTACAACCAGCATATGGAGATTCAACGATTTTATTAATAACTGTGAGTTAAAGGAACTCTCATTGCTGCAAGCTCTCTATACTTGGTCCAACTTTCAGGAGACACCAATCTACTCCAAATTAGATAGGTTCCTTTTCAATGAAAGCTGGGAAAATAAGTGGGCGGACTTGATAACAAGGGCTCTACCTAGAGTCACATTTGACCATTGCCCCATCGGCCTAGGAGCCTTTTAGGCAAGGACCTCGATCCATTAGGTTTGAGAACAAGTGGTTGACTCACTTAGACTTCATGAAGAAGGTTGAGGAATGGTGGAGGGAAGACCTAAGGGGGGTGAAGTGGAAAGGGACCTAAGGTTGAGAAATCCTCTCTGTTGACCCACATAGAGGAACTGGATGCGAAGGAATCCCAAAGAGCCATAAGCCCTCAGGATAGAGATTAGAGATGGAATCTGAAAAGAGAATTAGATGAAGTCATTTTGAGAGAAGAAATTTCTTGGAGGCAAAAGTCTATATGTAAGTGGATTAAGGAAGGAAGTGGGAACACTAAATTTTTTCATCACCTAGCTAATGGAAGAAGGTAAAACCTAGTGTCCAAACTAGAAGTGGATGGAATAGTCTATGATACCCAAGAGAAGATAGCTAATTGTTTTGTTGACTATTTCAAATCCATTTTGAGGAGACCCCTAAGCCCTAATGTGGAGTTGGAAGGTGTGACCTAGCAAAGGCTTCCAAAAGAGAGTAGAAGTTGGCTGAAAAGGAATTTTGAGGAGAAAGAAATTAGAAAAGTCGTGTTTTCCATGGACAGATCTAAAGCACCAAGGCCAGACGGGTTTACAATGGCTTTCTTTCAAGATTGTTGGGACGTAGTAAAAGAAGATTTAATTGAGGTCTCCAAGGAATTTGAGAATAATCCAGTGATGAGTCAGGGAATTAATGCTACTTTTTTAGCCTTAATTCCCAAGAAGAAAGAGGCCAAGCATCCAAAGGACTTTAGACCTATCAGTTTGGTGACTAGTGTTTACAAGATTGTGGCAAAGGTCTTATCTTTGAGAATAAAAAAGGTGCTTCCTTGTCTTATTAACCAAGCGCAATGAGCTTTTGTTTAGGGGAGACAAATTGTAGATCAGATTCTAATAGCAAATGAATGTGTGGAGGAGATGAGGAGATCGGGGTGTCAAGGTTTTGTTTGTAAACTAGATCTTAAAAAGGCTATGACTTAGTGGAT